GACCTAAACGTGAGACAGGAGTCCATCAAAATCCTAAAGGAGAATAGAGACAGCAACGTCTTCGACCTCAGCCACAGCAAGTCCTTCCTAGAAACATGGCCAAAGGCAAGGGAAGCAAGGGCAAAAATGAACTATTGGGACTTCATCAAGATAAAAAGCTTTTGCATAGCAAAAGAAACAGCCAACCAAACCAAAAGACAACCGACAGAATGGGAGAAGATATTTGCAAATGACATATCAGATAAAGGGCTAGTATCCCAAATATATAAAGAATTTATCAAACTCAACACCCAAAGAAAAAATGATCCAATCAAGAAATGGGCAGAAGACATGAACAGACATTTTTCCAAAGAAGACATCAAAACGGCCAACAGACACATGAAAAAGTGCTCAACATTGCTCGGCATCAGGGAAATCCAAATCAAAACCTCAATGAGATATCACCTCACACCAGTCAGAATGGCTAAAATTAACAAGTCAGGAAACGACAGATGTTGGCAGGGATGTGGAGAAAGGGGAACCCTCCTACACTGTTGGGAATGCGAGCTGGTGCAGCCACTCTGGAAAACAGTATGGAGGTTCCTCAAAAAGTTGAAAACAGAGCTACCATACAATCCAGCAATTGCACTACTGGGTATTTACCCCAAAGATACAAATGTAGCAATCCAAAGGGGTACGTACACTCCGATGTTTATAGCAGCAACGTCCACAATAGCCAAATTGTGGAAAGAGCCAAGATGTCCATCGACAGATGAATGGATAAAGAAGATGTGGTATATATGTATATACACACACAAAGGAATATTATGCAGCCATCAAAAGGAATGAGATCTTGCCATTTGCAACAACGTGGATGAACTGGAGGGTGTTATGCTGAGTGAAATAAGTCAATCAGAGAAAGACATGTATCATATGACCTCACTGATATGAGGAATTCTTAATCTCAGGAAAGAAACTGAGGGTTGCTGGAGTGGTGGGGGGTGGGAGGAATGGGGGCACTGGGTGATAGACATTGGGGAGGGTGTGTGCTGTGGTGAGCGCTGTGAATTGTGCAGGACTGTTGAATCGTGGATCTGTACCTCTGAAACAAATAATACAATATATATTTAAGAAAGAAGAAGAGAAGGGGAAGGGGAAGGGGAAGGAGATAGCAGGAGGCGAAGAATGAAGGAGGGGAATCGGAGGGGGAGACGAACCATGGGAGAAGATGGACTCTGAAAAACAAACTGAGGGTTCTAGAGGGGAGGGGGTAGGAGGATGGGTTAGCCTTGTGATGGGTATTAAAGAGGGCACGTTCTGCATGGAGCACTGGGCGTTATACACAAACAATGAATCGTGGGGCACTACATCAAAAACTAATGATGTAATATATGGTGATTAACATAATAAAATTAAAAAAAAAAAAGAATGCTGAGGTCCTCTCCTAGCAGCTCTTGAAACAATTACAGCCAAGCACCATCACCCGAGCAATGGAAGGCACCATTGCTCTGATGGGACCCCTTGAACCTCCGTCCCTGGGAGCTCTGTGGAGACTTCCCAGATGCAATTCTGCTCACTTGGAGCATGAACTATTCCTTAATACCACTGCCTGGACCCTTCATTCTTTGGTGATTAAACTAACCCTCCTAGATTGGCCGATGTTAGGGGCCCAAACAATGCTTTTTTTCTTTTTTAAGACTTTATTTATTTATTTGAGAGAGAGAGAATGAGAGAGAGAGAGAGAGCGTGAGAAGGAGGAGGGTCAGAGGGAGAAGCAGACTCCCTGCCGAACAGGGAGTCTGATGCGGGACTCGATTCCGGGACTCCAGGATCATGACCTGAGCTGAAGGCAGTGGCTTAACTGACTGAGCCACCCAGGTGCCCCCAAACAATGCATTTTGATTGGATTATGTTATTTACCTGTCATTATTCAGATAGGAAATACTGGTCTCTGTGATGTAGTCTCCTGGGGTCTGCAGGCTGGTGTGAGGGATTTGTCCATGTCCTTGGGAAGTATGTTTATCTTCATCTTCTCATCCAATACTTTCAAATGCCCGATTAGGCAAGAACCACCATTTTTTGCGTTTTTTTCCTGTTTTTGTTTTAATAGGGAAACGGATGTTCGACACCTGGGACGACTTGCCTGATGTCACATAACCAGCACTCAAGTACAGGAACTCCGAGTCAATGACTCTCAATACCTCATGATGCTGCCTTGTTGCATAATGAATGCATTGCCACTGCAATGAGGGAGGTGTGACGTGGTGGGCATCTCTGCCCCTTCCAGAAAGGCAGCGCCCATCATGTTGCAGACGTGGTCAGAGAGCATTGGGACATCCACACGTGATGTGACAGCAGGTCAGGTGAGTGTCCTACAAAGACGCTCAGTACCCCCACAGACTTGTCCTAGGGTTCAAGGGGTCCAGAAGGGAATAGACGAAATTATACTAACGACATCTAATCATTTGGAGGGGAAAGCAATATATGTTATGACTGTGTAAATTGGATTCTGCTCTGTTGTATCTCCATGGTTTGGATTCGTTTTAAGATGGTGGACTTCCAGGGCTTGCAGGTGAGTGAGGATACTAAGGCAGCCATCCCTTTGTTCTCCTTTGTCTTAGTCATCCTCTCAATTAATTGATACATGCATAGAATACTCCATTTTCAGTATTTTACCAGATATGATGTGAACGTTCAAGAAATACGAGGCATGCATCCTCTTTACCTCCTCCAAATTTTACTCCTCTTCTGACCTTCCTCATTCCCTCATTTAGAAGGTCCTCGGAAAGCAGAAAGCATGAGCTCAAAGTTTCACTTGCAGGATGAGTGTCTTCGTTATAATTTAGATTCCTGAGCCCAGAACAGCAACATAGCCCATATTTATGGCCCCTACACCATCATTTCCAGGCCCCTGAGCAGAAGAGCAAGCATGGGTCTAATGTGAAGGTAGGGGCTTAGATACAGGTGGGCTTGGGAAGAGAGAGTTGATAATGGGTTAATAATTATTAAAACTTCAGAATCCATGCAAATCCTTTGAGTTTAGGCACACATCTGTCCGTAGCACCCTAATGGGGCTTCTTAAGGATAAACAGGGATAAACTGCATTAACTGGGTTTGGTAGGCAATGAATCCCAACGTGGATTAACAGTTAGCTAAACTGAGGAGAAAGTATAGAATACCAGAAAACTTTACAAAATAATATAATAGTGAGGATTGTGAATTTAAACTTATTTTTCTACTTTTGTGGGTTCTCCTCATTATATAGAATGAGTGTTTAGGATTTCTGAAATCAGGGAAACACTTCAAAAACAAAGCAACGCTATGTAGCAATTGCCTAAGTGATACTACAATGTACTTATCTTGCAGTTATAGATTTAGACCTCTACCCAAATAAATACAATAATGTTGTAAAACTTCCTTTCTGTATTTTATACCTAAGGGCCTCTCCCATACAGGCTGGGAAAGGCACAGGTGCCTGACACCTGAGGAAAGGGAACTTACATTGGTAAATTCTATCAGAATGTTCTGATATAACCTGATTGATTGATTGTGTGTGTGTGTGTGTGTGTACATGAAAATAGTTTCCATGCTAATTGAAGAAAGATAAACTCAGATGTAAAGAAATGGTGACCAATTACCAGTAATACCTTGGCAAAGATTTAAGTGGGATGATCATTTATTGAGCGCCTAGTATGTACTAAATATTATGCTTCATGCCTTACATAAATTATCCTATTTATTCCCAATAATCCAGAAGAGTATTATTGGTCCTATTTTAGAGATAAACTAAAACAAGACAGGTTAAATTCCTTAATGACGGAGGACACACAGCTAGTAACTGTGGAAGTTGGGATTAAATACCAAATTGAATCCCAAACCTGTGCTCTTTCAGCTGCGCTAAGCCCGAGATCATCCTTTTGGGAATCTAGAAATGAGATAAACTCACACTGGAGGGGCAGACAGTGGAAATCAGAGTGGGGAGATAACAATCACTGGGGAGAGTCAACTAAGCTGACAGGATCCAGATAACAAAGCATATTGAAGTGAAGGTGGAAGGGAAGTCAGGCAGGTGGCCAGTAGAGGGGCAGCAGGCCAGGAAAACCAGCAGGCCTCCTATGGGTTTCCAGCAACATCTGGGAAGAGTCAGGCAGCGCCCTAGGCTTATAGGAGCTGGGGAAATAGACAAGGTTGTCAATACAAAGACAGCATTAATGGAACTGGGATTAAAAAAAGGGGGATGAGGAGGGGAGGAGGCTTTACTGTAGGAATAGAACAGAAGCCCAGTTACTAAAATTGGACTGTTTGGGTAGAAAAGTATAACAGCAAGTTTGGCCTGGTGATGAGCTAAACTTCTTTCAACCAAGGATAGCATTGGAGCCATGTCTTGGGCTGCTATTGTAGATGGGGCTCTAGAGATTATAGGTGTGCCAACTAAATGGCTCAGGGTAGGGGTGTGGAGCTACAGAGAGCCAGGCAAAAGCAAGTTTGGATGCACGTTTTATAGTTGAAGCAAATCCTACATGTGATTTACTAACACTTAATAATCTCTTAAAAACAAACCAACAACAACAACAAACAACAAATCATAGACTGGGAAAGAGAGACGACAAGGAACACTGGTTTGATTTTAGTCAGAGTACCTGCAAGAAACCCCAAAGTGAGATAATGAAGGTGCCTAGTACTAGTACTAGTACTGCCTAGTACTGCCTAGTTTTCAAAGGGCCTGGGAGGAATGACCTTGGGGTTCCTTGCCTGTGTCAGCCCCTAGGCCAGTTTCTCTAATCTCCATCTTTAGCTTCCAGTGGGCAACTTGATTCTACTCCAGTTCTTAGAGCCAATGACCTCATATCAAGGCTTTTTTTCCGCCCTGGGGATTCCCTATTGAACAGAGCTCATCTTATGGTTTCTGAAATCTTCCTGTCCTTGAAATGAATGCACAGGAGAAGAATTCCAAATTGTAAGAAGTCTTGAAAGTCTCATCAGTACAGTAGCTGACATGAATTTCCGGCACAAACATAGGCTCGAGCCTAATCTTCACCTTGTTTTTGTAAGACCCTGGCCTATCCATCCTCATTTAGCTTTTGGGATCATAGCTTTTCAGCCTTGGGAACAGTTGTTATAGGGGGTATCCCCTTACTCAATGGAACAACACACACTCTCCAAATCCTAACATGTTATTATGATGTGAAAAAACTGATGAGTGAACCCCCCCCCCATTTTCTCCACATAAGTTCTGAAGAAGTTCTGAACAAGAGAGACATTATGGAGCTGATAGAGACTATGGCTTAGATACATGGCAACATGAGAGTCCCAAGTCTGAAACTTAAAATTAGAAAGATCTATCCCATCATTCAGGATCCTGAGTGGTGGATTCTACCATATTTCCTGCTAAAAACATAAAGAGCAAATAAACAAAGAGGCTGTGCAGAAGAATGTTACAGGTGTCACACATTCCCCTCTTACAGTGGCCTTTGTCCCCTGCTAAAGGGCCTCTCAGATTTTCGTTTAATTTGTTTAAGGAAAGAGGACAAATGTCAAGTTATTAAGTTCCTCTGCCTCTCTTACTCTTAAAATGGAAACAAACAAACCATCTTATATGGTGATGTTTGGGGGACCTAAAGAGGATTCTTTCAAGCGTTCTCCACAAAAATAGGATCCCCAGGAATGAAACTGACAGGAAGTTCAAGCTCTTATTTGATTTATATAACCAAAAACCAAAAAACACCTGACGGATTTGATAATAGTGGACTGGTGTGAGTCAACATGCTAAAGTGATATGGACTCCTCCCTATGTCACAAACCTCAATTAGTTACATTTTTTTTAAAGATTTTACTTATTTATCTGACACAGAGAGAGACAGCGAGAGAGGGAACACAAGCAGGGGGAGTGGGAGAGGGAGAGCAGGCTTCCCCCGGAGCAGGGAGCCCGTTGTGGGGCTCATCAAAGGACCCTGGGATCATGACCTGAGCTGAAGGCAGATGCATAATGACTGAGCCACCCAGGCGCCCCCTCAGTTACATTAACTCATTCAATGCCCCTTGAATGAAGGGGAACCCAGTACTCTAAAGAATGAGCCTTGTTCTAACATTGAATCTCCCTTCCAGCCCATACAAAGATGGCCTGAGTCTATTTACTTGGTGACTTGTGCTCTAGGGACAAGAACATAGCTGAATTTTTTGAGATTCTGGTTCTGAATTGGTACTAATTTGTGGTGTTTGTGGTGTGGGGAAGACTTATAATCAGTGGTATCCTCTGATCAGAGTGGGGCTTATGAAAATTGAGAGATAATTGGATTTTTTACCGAAGTCTTCCCTAGAGTAATTCAATGTGGCTCTGAAACCATCTAGAATTTATTTCTACAGTACCTATGTGCACTGGCAGGGGCGTAAGGGGTACATACATTTTTTTTCTACAACTGGTAGAATCTCTACAATATCCTTCAGGCCTGTGAAGTGAGCTTTTTTTGTAGAAAGGGCTAAGAAAAAGTTGATCGAATGTCCCCTTAGTAAATCTAAAGCATCAACACACTGCAGAGGCCACTACTACCAAGACAGACTTGAAATATGCTGGGTGATAATTTGTATTATAATTTCATTTGGTTCTTCAGTTGTTCATGTCATAAGGGTGGTGGGGAGTGATAGTGTTTGAGTATCGCGTGGTAACTCCAATTATAGTTGCTGTTCCGTATGTGGTTCCTTACTAGAGCAAAAAAATGCAGTCTTTCACACTCAGTATGCAACTATCCATCTGGAAAATGTATTTTTGTACATTGCTTTGAGAAGCTCAGAATTAATTAGCTTTCATTTGTCAGGGACAACAGTATATTTTTACCTCCATGCTCAGGCAGTCATCATTGCTCTGCCCCTGAACCTGAATATAGTCTTTAAAGAACTTGACAATCTCAAAGGGTACCATGCTGATCTATTGTATTAATGATATCATATTGGTAGGATGAGATAACAGGAAGTAGCAAGTTTCCTGGCTTGCAAAGACAGATATATGGTAGTGGGTAGGTGATGTAACTGGTGAACCTTGTGGGTGTATGTTGGATTCCTCTATTGAAATGAATATATTGTTATACTTGTGCCCCCTACTATGAAAAAATGATATCTGAAGACCTCTAAATTTTATAAGCAACATATATCTCATTAGGATA